ACCCAGACAAAAGGGCACTTTCATAATTGCTTTGCAGAGATTCAAGTTCGCCCAAGCATGGGTTTTAAGGGATAAAAAGCAAGCAGCAACTTATTATTATTATTATTTTAAAGAAAGACACTCATAAATTTTTAAAATAACATACAATGTACTATTCATGGACCTTGCATTATTTATGTTATTAGCCTCTTTAATAATAAAAACCAGTATATGAGGGAAGCGAAAAGGAAATGCATATCTGTCTCATGCATGACCATTAATGTGCAAGTGTGCCACTAAAATGGACTTCTGGGGTCTCTTGTCTGCAGAATTTGTTATCAGACAAAAGGCTAGACCCTGCATTATATCAGCAATGAAGACACAGCACAGATGCTTAGGCTCATTGCACTGGTTTAGTTGTGTTTTAATATAGTATAATACAGGATTTTATTAGGCAGAGGTTTCTTAGTTGCTATTGTTAAAATTTTGTTGTTGTCTGCTGAAACCCCTGAGCAAAAGGAAGATTGATTTTATATGTTGACTCAGATGCATTTGGAAAAAATCAAATGCAAAATACACATTTTCTTCCTCTATAATTTCCCCCAGTTTCTACCAGTAGAGGGCGTCTGTGTACACTAATTTGGGATTTGTCACTATTAAGTGAAATAACTTTAGTGCTTACTTTAAGTGAGACCAAATATAACATTTTACATAGCTTTTAGTTTAAAATACATTGCTAAACTATTTATTAATTGTGGAATGAGATATATTTGTTGCATTTATAAAGTATATTAACACTTGTTCACATTCTTGCTGTGGTATAGTTAGTCTTCCCTTAGGTTTGCCATTGTGCTTCACATGACTTTTGGCATAGCCTCTTTGACACTACTGCTTCTTCCTCCTAAACAACAATGCAGATCACTACCACTTTTGACCCCATTATTTTTGCATTAAACTTGACATTCAGTATAGCTGTTTAAAAGAATCACTTGCCTCATAGTTGACACACAAAATCTGGCTCTAATGCGTAGTATTTCAGGCTGATCAAAACATAATATAGTGGGAATTCAAAATTGACTCCACCGTTTCATGACACATTGGCTAGTTTCAATACAGATACAGTCCAACTTGATTTGGAAGAAGCATGTGAGTGGTGAAGCCCCACTTTGCCACCCAGTACTTCACATTAGGTGGCGCATTGTTGAAAAGCATCTGTTATAGGTATTTGTCATGGAGCAAACTGGACAGTAAACCATAGAGAAACACAAACTTCCCCGGGTTGACTGGGTTTCAGGCCTAATGAGCACAGCAGTTCATGCCCTGTAGGCCGTACTCCATGAAATCAGTTGCTGAGACTAAAAGTGCTCACCACCCCCACTGCCATCTACGTTTCCTCCTCTCCAGGTCTTCATGCAAGCAATCAGAGACTACGTCTGCATGCAGCCTATCTTTACTCCACCCGTTTCAGCCCTCTCCTGGTTTGGGGAGACAGGGGGATGGGAGCTTGTTGCAGCAGGACAGGGAAGGCCCCGTGACTCTTCACTAGCCTGATTCAACTCTGCCTCTTGGCCTCCCCCTTCCCACTCACCTGCTTCAGCCTCTGCCTCCAACTATTGACCCCGACCTGCCACAGACTCTCCCAACTCACTGAGCCATGTTACCCCCTGTCAGGCATCAGGGAATCCGATCTCCCCCCCCCCCCCACGGTAGGCTGCCAGGAATAGATTGACGAGGAAAGCTCTTACCAATGTCTTTTATCCAATATTCACAGAGAGAGGCTTAGAATTGCAGCCTCTTGGAGTAATGGCGTTGTTCCAAGTAATCTCCACCCTCCTTCTCTCCTCAATTGTCAGCAGCAGCACCCACCTTACGGTAGCCGCTTAGGGCCATTTGTCTCACAGCCCTTTGCTCTCCTACTTTCAATGCTTGCCGAGTCCTGGGAGAAGGGAAGTCTGGGATGCTTTCTAGTGATAACGTGTCAGCCAGCTGCCCCAGCTCTGCTTCCCCCTCCTCCTCTCCCATTATTGTGCAACTTTGCCCCTCATCTACCTCTGAGCCGTGACCTTCCACAAACCACTGCTGTAAATCTATACTGTCTTCCTCTTCTCTGGAAGGTTGAGGAGGGTGAGGCAGTCTCCACCATTCCTCCTCTGTCTAGTCCCTGACACCTCCTCTTCCCAGTCTTCTCCCTGTGACCACCCACCATTTCCCAGGCTCAGAGCTTTCTTCCCTTGGCCATTCCTCACTTGGTTCATCCCATGACTCCTCTGTGTCCAACCAGTCCTTGACAGTATAGCGGGTCTGTAGATCTGCCATGTGAAAATAATTTCCATCCCTTTAGCACTGTTTATATATTTAAAACTATTTAGTTCACTTTTCAGTATAAAACCCCCAAGGTGACTAACAACAATTCAGCCAAGACAATAAATTAAACTCAGTTCATAAATTAAATAAATTAAACTCAGTTTTGCTTTTTCATAGCAAAAAGAAAAAAGAAAAAAGGAGGAGGTGGAGCAATAAAGCAGTAAAATCTCAGAACAGAAGTACAAAATTCATCATCTATTAAAAGCCCAGGAAATTAAAATTGACTTAAGCTGTTAACCTAAAAATTAACAGACTGTCCATTCATCCAGTGACAAACATTCAGCAATTAGTCATACCATAGTTTACTATCCTGTTCTGTTTGAATGTTGCTGAGGCTTCCTACCTTTAAATGCTAAAAGCAAGTAAAGAATGTCTGTGAAATCTGGGAAGCTGACCTAATACAGTGGTACCTCGGGTTATAGACGCTTCAGGTTACAGACTCCGCTAACCCAGAAATAGTACCTCAGGTTAAGAACTTTGCTTCAGGATGAGAACAGAAATCGTGCGCCGCAGCGGGAGGCCCATTGGCTAAAGTGGTACCTCAGGTTAAGAACAGTTTCAGGTTAAGAATGGACCTCCAGAACAAGTTATGTTCTTAACCCGAGGTACTTCTGTATCTGTGCTGTAAGTTTTCCTTTCCTGACAACTGATGGATGCAGCGTCACAACCTGCCTATGTGTCAGAGATTGGCCACACCTTGATCTTTTCCTCACTAAGTTTCATAGCAATAGTTTTACTATCACTTGTTTACAAATGGCTTCGTAGTAATAGTTTTAGATATCACTATGTATCTAAAGTCCTTCTCCGTTCCTGCCGGTGTTTGGTATAATTTACAAAGGGCTATGACAACAGAAACGGCCCTGAATGGAGTTCTCATTATTTTTGCTTGTGCTTTATTTCTGAATAAAGTAACATTACTTGTGTAAAAATGACCAATATCAGAAGGGATTAGATGAACTGATCTAGGCACTTGTGGCTGCTGTGTTTCAAGCTCACCTCTGCAAGATAGCTGAAGGTTTCTGTCATGTTCCTCCAGGAACCACCTTAGTCGATGGGCTTTTGTGTTGAGGGAGTCATTGCGTCTGACACCCATGCCTCTCTTTTATTGCACCCTTGTTTTTTCAGGCTTTGTGATGCACATCCCATTTGACAGCAGTATGATTGACTGCTGGAACATGGTTCAGTAGGTGCAGCAAGAAAACTAGCTCAGCATATGCCAGAGATGTTTGAGTAACGCCGTGGCTGAACATATTCACCAGGCAGAACAATCAATAACTTCTCCATCAGCATGAGTGTTATCTGTTGCTGCAGAAATCAGGAGACACTGCACTATGACACACCATGTATCAGATCTGAGTTTTCCAAGTGCTGAAATAGGACAGCCACAGGCAGTGTTTTGCTTGAAGAAGTGTTTGAGATGACTCTTCCTAGCAATACTCTGTTCCTTTTCAAGGTTTGCAGCTTAGCGGCAGAGCATATATTTTGCATACAGAAAGTTTATGGTTCCATCCCCAGAAGATTGGTTTTGAAAGACCTACACTGGCTCCCAGTACGTTTCTGAGCACAATTCAAAGTGTTGATGCTGACCTTTAAAGCCCTAAATGGCCTCGGTCCAGTAAACCTGAAGGAGCATCTCCATCTCCATCATTCTGCCCGGACACTGAGGTCCAGCACCGAGGGCTTTCTGGCGGTTCCCTCATTGCGAGAAGCCAAGTTACAGGGAGCCAGGCAGAGGGCCTTCTCAGTAGTGGCACCTGCACTGTGGAACGCCCTCCCATCAGATGTCAAAGAGAACAACAACTACCAGACTTTTAGAAGACATCTGAAGGCAGCCCTGTTTAGGGAAGCTTTTAATGTTTAATAGGTTATTGTATTTTAGTGTTTTGTTGGAAGCCACCCTGAGTGGCTGGGGAAACCCAGCCAGATGGGCGGGGTATAAATAATTTTATTATTATTATTACTACTACTACTACTACTACCACCTTCAGCTAGGGAATGCCTCCTGACTGAAACCCTGGATGGCAGTCACCACCCCACTCATACATGAAAACAAAGTTCACCACAGCCAATCACAAAGCAAACAACCACACCCTGGGCCAACCCCAACCCCTCTCACCACCAAAGGAATACAAGCGAATAGTAAAGAGAACCCACATAAGTGAGTCTGACGCAAAACCCCACACATACACTAAGTAGAACAGAAGCATTGCCACCCGACCACACCCCACACACCATGCCCCCTCCTCCTCTTTCCCACTTTTCTTTCTAATGTAATACTAATGTCTTAACAAATGAAACTGATCTGTAGAAAATGTAACTTGAATAAATGAGACATTGCACATACTTTTGTAAACCAAGAAATCTTTACTCAAAAATATACAGTGGTACCTCGGGTTACATACGCTTTAGGTTACATACACTTCAGGTTACAGACTCCGCTAACCCAGAAATAGTACCTCGGGTTAAGAACTTTGCTTCAGGATGAGAACAGAAATCGTGCTCCGGCAGCACGGCGGCAGCAGGAGGCCCCATTAACTAAAGTGGTGCTTCAGGTTAAAACAGTTTCAAGTTAAGAACGGATCTCCAGAACGAATTAAGTTCTTAACCCGAGGTACGACTGTATATATAAAACAAAACAACAACTGCTAGATGCTGAGCTAGATAAGCTAGATAAACTGAGCTAGATTTACCTAGTCTTACTAGGTGAAAGGCAGCTGTCTGTGTTTGGAAGAAGTGCCTTTTTCACTAACCATGGAGTTGCGTGTGTTAAAATTCCTGAACCAAGTCTTTCTAATTTCAAGTGTATTGCCATTGCAAGGAAAATAACAAAGTTATTGTTAACAAGTGCTTGGAAGCAGGGAGTTGTATCCAATGTAGCACTCCGTTAATGGCAATTAGCAGTGAACTTTGTTGCTCAATAGTTTGGGCAGTGTTGGTGCACCAAGTTTCTGTTAGTGTAACTGTTGCCTTGGACTCTGGTGCAAGCATACAGAGAGAGTTTGATACAGCCCCAAGCACTTCAAATGAATAGCATGTAGCTTATTAGTGTACAATAAATATCATGAACGCTCTTCTGAAAATTAGAATTGTTCTCAGCAGACTGAATAAAATTTCTCCCGTCATCACTCTGTGCGAGATGCTCACATGCGGTACTGTTCTGAGAGCTCACAGAAATTGTTGCCCATTTGAAAACCAGAATGGTCAGTTTCTTTTATGAAAATATACTTTCTTGGTTTCATTTCTGTTTATTTATTGTTTTGTTCATCTGAAGATTCTCTGCATGTAGGAAGCTTGCTGGATAAAATAATGTCCAAAGTTCATTGTGGCCAGCATAACACAGCAGAAAGCGAGAGACAGTCTGGACGTGATACATTATTAAGAATAAAGTGAACGTGAACATTAATAAGTATGTGTGAAATATGAAAAGAGGTATGCTGTTTGTTTTATTTTTATTTTTTTTTAAAAGACAAAGTAGGGGTTAGGAAGAGCCTTGAAATGAAACCTGAGGCATTACCCTTGGAAAAAAGCAAGCTTTTTTATATGATCACTTGAATGTGCTGCGTTTGCAGTGGGGGGGCGGTGAGCAGTAAAAGCACAGAAAAGCCTCTTTTTCCAAAGGCTGCCAAGAGATGTTTGCGTCGAAAGTCGAGGCCTGGGAAACAGGGCACAGCTACAGGCTTCAAGGCCAGCCATCTGCTGCAGCGGGAGATACGTGCTGCAGAGTTGTCTGGGAACTCTGAGATAAGTCCAGTCTTCAGAGCAACGCAGGATGTTGCGGTTTTCGGACGCTGCCAAGGACAGAGGGGGCAGCGGGACGTTTGTTGCTTCTATGGCAACTGTGAAGAACAACTCCAGCCAGGACACGGTGACACGCTGGGTGTTTTGGTTTCTGCTATCAGGCAGCGCCTGATAGGCAAGCTGCGGAACTGCAGGGCTGTTTTCAACAGGAACAATTGTTTTGTTGGCTAACGTGTTTTTTCTCTCCTTCACAGGGAGGAGCAAGAGGTCTACGTTGTGCCGGGACTGAATAGTTGTCGGTTATCTGTATCTGCTCTAACGAAGCAGGGGTTCAAAAATGTGCTTTGAAAATGACACCTGTTCCATTTTCAGAGGGGGGCGACAACGGGTCAACATGGCGAAGAGCAAGAACAACGTCTTTGTTCTGGAGTCACCTGGAGTCTGGAGGGTGGTGGGAATGCTGGAAAAAGCACAGGTGCAGTGTGCTAAGGTTCCCAGTGATGTGCAAAAGTTGCACAGGTGCACAAAAGGGTACAAACTCCGGAAATGTGGGAGGTCCCAAGGGTGCAGGGCATGCAAAGGTGCAAAGGTTCTTGGTTTTCCCGGGTTTGGGAGGGTAGCCAAGGAGGTTTTGAGCTGGTTCACACAGATCTGTCAGGATCCATGAGGTGTGAGAGTCTGGGTGGGGCCAGGTATGTGCTGTCGCTGACAGGTGACCACAGCCAGGTTGGCTGGTGTCTCTCTCTCAAACCACAGGGAGAGGCGGCGCAACTGATCCAGGATTGGGTTGCGGAGGTAGAACTAAAGTTCTCCACCAAGGTGCAAGGGTTCAAGAGCGACCGAAGGTCACAGTTTACTGGGTCTGCTCTGGAGGAATTTTTCAAGGAAAAGGAAAAACGTCACTAGGTGACGGGTGCAAAGTCTTCTCAAGGGAGAAGGGAGGTTGTTGCTGAGCCCGGTGACGGGGATCAGGTCCAGAATCAGGGTTCAAAACCCGGTGATGGGGACCAAGTCCAGGGTCAGGGTTCAGGGCAGGTTTGGGCATCTCCAAGGGTTGTGAAAGGAGTGTCCAGGTGTGAGGCTTCATCTCCGGTAATGGAGAAAGCTTACGGAAGGGGTGTCAAGTCAGAGGGGGAAGAGTCTGACGGAAAAGACACAACTGCTGGCTCTAATGGGTCAGTAGGGTATCAGGTCACAGGTGCGTGGAAAAGTGTCGCACAGTGTGATTCTGGGAATGTTGAAGGGGTTCAGCAGGTGCCTGGGAAAGATGCCGGGAAGGGGCACAAGGCAAAGGTAAAGGTGTTGAACTCAAAAGGTCTTGTCAGAATGGGATGCAAGAGGGGGTGTGAGAGTTGGAACTTAACTGGTTAAGTTGTTCCCATAATGCCTCACCATTCTGACGTCACTTTTGGAAGCTCGGGAGGAGCTTGAGGCAAAGATTGCCAGTCCCACTATGTGAGCTGTGGGGAAAAGGACGTAGTGCTGTGATGGCTGCAACTAGTCCTGGAAATTCCTGAGAAATGTTGGAAATAAAAGCTGTATAGAGACAAACGGGACTCTGTGTGTTTGTCTGAAAGCTGAATCAAGTTGGTGACAGTTTTACATCGCTGTGCGAAGCTCTGCTGAACCGTGACGGAGAAGTGCCGGAGTGGAAGCGTGCCGGGCAGCAATAAATCGCTAATTGAGGTCCGTAGATCAATTAGCGGGGGTCACGGCTAACAAAACAGCACATTGAAGACACAGAAGATTAAAAGGATTTTTTAAAGGCCATTTGTAAAGCTTATGTGAAATGTTTTTGCTTTGTAATGCTTGTTCTGGGATGCCATTGATCAAAGCCATGCTAGTTAGGAAAAAGCTAATGAATCATCTTTCCCCCTAATAATAACTTTCTATTTCTCCCATTCCACTCTGTTTAGATTTTGAAAAGGCTATTAATGTATATTATAGTGTATCTTTCCCAATGTAACTTTTAATTGAGGTTGTCTTTATTATACCAGTACTTATTGCCATCTTGTTGTAACTCATTTCCTTATAATTGGATGCATACTGTCTTGGAAATGCAATTTTCTCTCTGCTTGTAAAATGCATGCAGCAAACTATATTCACGAGCCCTTTCTTGGGAATTTGTGCCTTCATTAAAAATAAGGATCTAGAATGGTTGCCTTGAGGACAAAGCTTTACACAGCTAAGAAAGCTATGGCTATATGAAGGGAGTTTCTGAGCACCGGTGCCTTAAATGCCAGAGAATAAGAACTGGCATGACGTGTTGATGACCAAGGGTACGGTTTTAACTTATTGTTAAATTGAGGCTGATAGTGCAGCTGAGCTCCGAAAAGAAATAAAACATTTCTTTTCTCCCATCTCAATTTCCCTCCAACTTGAGCAAACGAGTTTGTTCTCAGAGACTATGGCATTTTAAACAATTTTCCAAATTCAGTTATAATGGAAATATGTCCTCAGAGCCTAGTATTAAGCTAACAGGCATCCTGGATGTGTTTGTCCTTAGAGATAGGAGTGTGGGACGTTAATGATAGCTGAATAAATTGAGATGTTCCATACTTTGTCAGCAGTTACAAAACCTAGCATATGATTTTGACTAACATAATTGCAATGACAGATTTGAGCAGGAAACACTTCAATGCTGTTTAAAATAAAAAGGTATTTTCCTGTTTCCTGTATCCTTGGAACCACAAAAAATGTGATTTCAAGTCTGCTTATTTGGATACAGAAACCCAATAATCCAATATGGGGGAAATTCAGGTTCAGGTTGATACATGTACAAATAATAACTAAATAATTGAATATGTACTAGTCTCTCCCAACATATGTGTCAAAGATGGCAGAGCCTGGCTGATTGTGATTATCCTTTGCCTTTTCATTTCTTAGTTTCTCCCTTAGTCCAGGCTAAAAAGGGTTTTCTACCATTTTGGGGCCCTCCTATATCAATAAAGCTGTTGCTTTCTTGGCTCTTCTAGACTGAAGATACTTAGAGCTCCACTATTCCAGTTTCTTTTGCTTCTGGAAACTTAGCATCTGTACCTGTCTTGCTTTAACATTTCATGTCTTCTGTGCATCCTTTATGTTCCTTCCACACAGAAAGCATGAAATAGTGGTTCTTCTTGGAAAGTACCTCTTCAATCATTCCTAGAGGCTTCTGAGATCTGCTTTGCCTTCCTCCGTACAGTGCTTCTCTCTTTCTCTTGTGAAGATTTAAACAAGTACAGAAGCCCTTTTATCTGCTTTCAGGTTCGCTGGTGAGATGGAAGATTGGTGGGAAATTGCTGACCCCCACCCGTCTCCTCCCTCTCACCCCCAACTTCGCATAGAAAAAATGTAGTGATGGGGATGTAGGGTATTACCAGATAGTTGGCTAATTTCACCTGCTTGCGCCACCTTCCTGCCATCAGCTTTCCTGTTTTACCAGGAAGTTACCAGAGAGATTTGAGTGTGTCGTTTTGCAGCTGCAAACCCTAACCTAGCAGTGGGTTTGCATTTCTGATTTGGAGCTGAAAATGATTTCTGTTTTTTTAAAAAAATATCTGTGCAGTCTCAGTAAAAATTAAAATATTTTAATTTGGTAAAATAATAAGCTAAAAAATGAGTTTAAATAAACAGGAAGCAATTTCTTAGCTCCCATAATGATAGAAGGCAGAAGGCATCTTTTTTTGGACTGAAACTGTACAGAAAAAGATAGAGGTGAGGTTGTGCATTCTGATTAACTTGTTGTTGTTGATGATGATGATGATGAAAAAACCAAGGCAACAGACCTACTCAGAATGTTGGGGATTCCATGATACATCTTGACACACCTTGTTAATGATGCAGTCTGACATGGAAGCATGAGGTCATGACTCAAATCACCCCAGTTTGCGTCATCATTCAGGGTATACACACAGCTGAGGCACACTGGTGGTATTTGGTCAGACTTGACCATGTCAATCTCCTGTGTTTACTGCTCAGCACTTGTCATCGCAGGTGGGGAAATGCAGGAGAATCACGCAGGTGACTAGATATTACAGGAAGCGTGGAAATAGTATGGGGCAGGGGTCAGCAAACTTTTTCAGCAGGGGGCCGGTCCACTGTCCCTCAGACCTTGTGGGGGCTCAGACTATATTTGGGGGGGGGGAATGAACAAATATCTATGGCCCACAAATAACACAGAGATGTATTTTAAATAAAAGTGCACATTCTACTCATGTAAAAACACCAGGCAGACCCCACAAATAACCCAGAGATGCATTTTAAATAAAAGGACACATACTCATGTAAAAACATGCTGATTCCCGGACCATCTGTGGGCCGGATTGAGAAGGTGATTGGGCTGGATCTGGCCACCAGGCCTTAGTTTGCCTACCCATAGTATAGGGCTGCTAGGTTTTCTGACATCCCTGTGTTGAGTATCACAGATAGTTCTACCCAGTGCTTACAATGAATACTTCCCTTGTTCTCTTATAATGGCAATGGTGCCCACCTGAAGAGGTGCCAGAACTGAGTTCTGGCTGAAAAACAGCCCTGGTTCTATCCCAAATCTATTGAACCAAAAGAAGTTCCTTGGTGCAAAAGAAGACATTTTGTTTCTTCTAGTAAAGGTAAAGGTAAAGGGACCCCTGACCATTAGGTCCAGTCGTGGCCGACTCTGGGGTTGCGGCACTCATCTCGCTTTATTGGCCGAGGGAGCCGGTGTACAGCTTCCGGGTCATGTGCCCAGCATGACTAAGCCGCTTCTGGCGAACCAGAGCAGCGCACAGAAATGCAGTTTACCTTCCTGCCGGAGCGGTACCTATTTATCTACTTGCACTTTGACGTGCTTTCGAACTGCTAGGTTGGCAGGAGCAGGGATCGAGCAACGGGAGCTCACCCCATCGCAGGGATTCGAACTGCCGACCTTCTGATCGGCAAGTCCTAGGCTCTGTGGTTTCTTCTGGTACATAATTTTTTTATATTTCAAGCACAATCCTGGGTGATAGGTTGCAATGCCAGTAGAAGTTTTACTGTCCTGGAATTCAGCCAGTGTATGCTATTGCTTGATCTGCTTGTGTTTTCTCATATGGACCTCTGCGTGCCCCTTCTGCCCAAATAAAACCCAGTTCTCTATATTCCTTATAGCAAAGCTTTGCAACGCACCTTTCCCACAGTGATTTAAACTTGGGTCTAAAATGCAAACAACTCTATTGACATAAGCATCTTGAGCCAATGTTCTTGCCAAATTGAGGGTGAATCTTTAATGCCTTCTGATGGAAGTGCAGCTCATTTTCATGCATTACAGAAAATGCTGTTTTCAATCTCTATTTAGATTTCCTTATGTGTGAAAGAAGCTGAAAATAAATACTTTGTTTCCCCCGCTTCCTCACTGATGGATAGATAGGGCTATTGTCTCATGTCCTCAGCGACGCTATTATGTTTCTGCATCCTGACCGAAATGACATCCAGATGCATCGTGTATGAACATGCACCGGAATACACTCAAAGCCTGTTTTTTTAAAAAATGTGCTCTAATAAAAGATGATCGGGCAGAATATATTCTAGCAAAGGATACTTTTGAAGAAAGAGAAATAATGGTAATAACGAAGAGGCAGGACATTGATTCTAATCTGTAGTAGCAAGATGACAATCTGTTTGATGAATGGAGGAGCTGGTGCAAAGATAGGGCAGGTGTTTGTGGTTTGTGCCTGTTCCCATTTTTATCCACCAATAGCACACCCTCCATTAAAATACAGCTGAGGAAATGTGCAATAGAAAGAGGAGGAGAAATCTCACCCTTTGAAAGTTCAAGATGCATTCAGGTTTACAGCAATTAAATGCCTAATTTCCTTTTAAAGAACTTCCTGCTCTTCTTCTCCCAGCCCCCCTGTGTATAACGTGCTGTTCTGCATTTCTGCTTTGAGCAAACAGCAGCCCAAGAGCATCTCTATCATTTCAACAGTTTTATGGTACTTTGCTGAAAGCACTGGGTCTTAGAGCTTGGTGCAGTGAATTAGCATATGCTTCTGCAAAATATTTCATCCTTTTGTGACTCCCTTTTGATCAATTATGTGTATGCAGGTTTTCTCAAACATCCTCGTAGAGGAAAATTTGATCTTCATAGAAGATGACCGGTTTTATACTTCCAGCTTTATATGTTCATTCTAGAAATACAACAGCTGGCATGACATTAAAGTATGCACTGTGTGACTTTTTTTTAAAGGAGAGAATTAGATTTCATAAAGGTTGTGACATCAACTAATGATTTAAATTGATAGATTCCTTGCTAACTTTGTCTTTAAAATATATGCATCTGTACACAAACATAGGTATATGGAGGTGCGGACAATGCTGCTTTAGCTGTGTCCAAGGTCCTGAGTGTGCCCAGTTGGATTTTGCAGTGGAGCCCTCTCTCATTTCACTAATAATAATAATAATAATAATAATAATAATAATAATAATTTATACCCCGCCCATCTGGCTGGGTTTCCCCAGCCACTCTGGGCGGCTTCCAACAAAACACTAAAATACAATAACCTATCAAACATTAAAAGCTTCCCTAAACAGGGCTGCCTTCAGATGTCTTCTAAAAGTTTGGTAGTTATTTTTCTCTTTGACATCTGGTGGGAGGGCGTTCCACAGGGCGGGTGCCACTACCAAGAAGGCCCTCTGCCTGGTTCCCTGTAGCTTTGCTTCTCGCAGTGAGGGAACCGCCAGAAGGCCCTAGGCACTGGACCTCAGTGTCCAGGCAGAACGATGGAGATGGAGACGCTCCTTCAGGTATACTGGACCGAGGCCGTTTGGGGCTTTAAAGGTCAGCACCAACACTTTGAATTGTGCTTGGAAACGTACTGGGAGCCAGTGTCGGTCTTTCAAGACTGGTGTTATATGGTCTCGGCGGCCGCTCCTAGTCACCAATCTAGCTGCCGCATTCTGGATTAGTTGTAGTTTCCGGGGCACTTTCAAAGGTAGCCCACATAGAGCGCATTGCAGTAGTCCAAGCGAGAGATAACTAGAGCATGCACCACTGTGGAGAGACAGTCTGCAGTCAGGTAGGGTCTCAGCCTGCGGACCAGATGGAGCTGGTAAACAGCTGCCCTGGACACAGAATTGACCTGCGCCTCCATGGACAGCTGTGAGTCCAGAATGACTCCCAGGCTGCGCACCTGGTTTTTCAGGGGCAAAGTTGCCCCATTCAGGACCAGGGAGTCCTCCACACCCGCCCGCCTCCTGTCCCCCAAAACAGTACTTCTGTCTTGTCAGGATTCAACCTCAAATCACCATTGAAGCTTCTATCTGTTTCAACAGCAGTTTGTCACGTGGTATGGAGCAATGTTGTTTGACAAACACAAATCAAAATAAACATACATACAGTGTACAGAAATGGTGATGTGGTTCTTTGCATCCCAACTTGGGTTCAATGTCATCCTCACTTTTGACTCCTTTATTGCAGGGGGTTGGACTAGATGATCCTTGGGGTCCCTTCCAACTTTACAGTTCTATGACCTCAGCCTCACACATGTTACAGTGTTGTTCCTCAGCTCCATAGTAACTTGCATGAAGCGGTCATACAGCTCTAATGTGCTGCAATATGAAATCAGCGAATGAGCTTTTAATTATTTTTTGGGAAAGGTAATTAAAGCAGTGATTTGCCCATAAGAAATAACATGATGTAGTTGGAAATTGTCTTTTATAGATAGATTTCATGACTGTCGGGTTTTGATGGGTCCTTTAATGTCTTAGGGTTATGATAGACATTTATTATGATAAGCGGGATTTAAGTTGTTGTTTTTCTTAATATTTGCTTCATTTTTATATCTGCTTGCCGTTGGTGCATTTATTAATAATGTTCCCCATAAAACCATGTTTCCCTGGACATATTTTATGCTACCTGTGAGAAGAAGCAAAGAATTATATGGCCATGTTTGGATATAATTCTGGCTGTTGCCTATGGTTAGTCAAATTTGTTTGCTTGCTAGTGCGCCCAGCCTGAGCACTCCTGCTCATCTCTCAAAGGGAAAACAAACCGTAGAGTTTTGACTGTATGTATATGATTGTATTTTGTTTGAGGGAAGCAAATCATGGGGTGTAATGTTAAGCAGGTTGCTTCATGGTTTGTTTCCCAACTGGGAGGAAGGCAAGAACAGAGTGGGAGTGTTTGGACTGCATGCATTAACATGCAGCTTGTACACAAACTAATTTGACTAACCATTGTTAATGGCCAGTGTTATAACCAAATGTGGCTATTAAGTAGCTTTAGCTCTGGTGGATTTTAAAGCTTTATTAGAGAAGCCATTAAACAGAAGTGATTAATAGAAGTGAGATCTTGCTGAAGTATTAGTGACCAGTGTTGGAAGTGATTGGTGTAAGGTTAAGCTATCAATTCTTTGAGGAGATGTACTTTGCAAATTTGGCAGTTCTTTTGTTTGGAGCCTCAGTTGTTGCATTGATTCTATCCTAACAGCCTTTTGGGTCATTTTTATTTATTTAAGATTAGAAAGTCCTATTCTCTAAATCTTCTTTGGTGAAAATATGTGTGTGTGTGTGTGTGTGTGTGTGAGAGAGAGAGAGAGAGAGAGAGAGAGAGACTGTGCCTGTCAAATGGAATCTACAACTGGGGTTTCTCTCTGGCTGCTAATGTTTATCCATATTATTTAATTTCTTTTTGTTAGTTGTTGCTGTTTGTTGCTGTTATCTTAACATTGGGTTGTATCCAATACTTCCGTTCTGCTCAAGAAGACTTCCACCTGCACAGTGAAACTACCCACTCAAGCTGCCCAG